GGCGTGTGTTTGTCAGAAGCAGGGAGGGTATGGATTTTCAGGGGAGGAGTGAGACTGGGAACAAGCTGTAATTAGCTGAAAATGGTTTAGAGGAAGTTTGTGCTGTGTGTGTCAGAGAGACTGCAAGTAATGATTTAGCTCTCCTGGGTTTACACTTTGTTCACTGAAGTTAGAAAGCAAAGTGGTTATTTTTGAATGTTGCTTGGTTTGCTTTACTCAAATATCCCGAGGGTGCTAATGAAATCAGCCCCTACTATCCCCCAGCCTCTGTGTATGGGGAATGTGCTCCGTCATGAAGAGCCAAGCCTTCACACATATACCATTCCCTTGGAATGTCCTGTCCGGCTCCACAAAGGCATGCACATCACTGCGATTTAACTGCCTGAATCCATGGTACCTTTATGGTGTAAATTTCACCCAAATTCTTCCTCACAGCAACAAGGTCCTGAGTTCGATCCTGGGTCCTGGTTTCCTCCCACAGTCCAAAAGCATGCAGGGTAGGCTGATTGGCGTGTCTAAATTGGCCCTGTAGTTGTGTGAGTGTGTGCGTCCTGCAATTAAATATTAATCAAATAGTAAATATTCAATTAAAAGTCACATAAATAAAGGAATGTATCTGATACCTATAAAAATGAGACCACAGTCTTTGAGAAGCATCCATTTTCCATACCCGCTTGTCCTGTGTGGGGTCTGGAGCCTATCCTGGATGGAGCACCAACCAATCACAGGACACGTACACATTCACAACCCAATTCACCTTAATAAGATTTCGGATTGTAGGGGGTAATCAGAGAACCTGTAAGAAACCTCACAACAACATGCAGACCACAGGCACGTAGAGGGGGGGCAGAGATTCAGACACTGGTGTCCGAATGTGGGAGGCAAGAGTGCTAACCACTGCACCACTGGAAAAAAGTGCTGTATTACACGATACACCTGAAAAAAAATCTAACAATATGCTGGAGGTTTGTGTTTCAAAATAATTGACAAAAAAACCTGTTTAAAGAGAAGCTAATTCAAGAAAAATTCTCATTAAAGCATATAAACATCATAAAATCCATTATCAGGTTATAAAGATGCATTAAACACTCTATTAAACACATAGATAGTTTTTTGGAATACAGATTTCAGAGTACAAAGTAAGAAATGTAATTATGTATAATAGATTACTTGTGCATACTTTATAGAGGTCTAGCTTGCTGTTAAAATAGTACCAATATGACTTCTCACTGTTACACTAAGTGAAATGACCAGGAAACAGTTTTAATTCCTGGCAAGTACGGAATCCCCTCTGAACGCCAGCCACTACAGTTAATATGAATATTTAAGTGCCTGAATTGCCTCATGAAGATGAGCTGAAAGCACATTAAAAAACAATAGGCATTTTACTTAATGGGCTGTGTGTGGAGCAGGCCCTCACGGAGAAGAGAACCGTAACACTAAATGGAAACCTAATGTAGAGCAGAGCAGTACTACAGGAGCTCTTCCAGCCAGGTGCTGCTCTTGGAGCCCTTCCAGTCCCCTCTCCACAGACACCCCACTTCCTGCTTACGTCTGAGCCGCACAGTGGTCTTCTGGGTGGTGGAGTGTTTTAAGCTGAGTTTCCAGCTCCAGCTCAAGACTTACTCTGCCACTCGGGGAATCCACTTCGTTTAGACTGGTGGAAATTGAAAGAGCATGTGAAATCTGACAGTGGACAATTTGACTGAAATGGACAAATGAATAAAACATAGGAAAGAAGAGAATTGGGATTTATATATTATTAGGTATCTATTAAAACTGGTCACTGTAAACTGTATATACTATGGATTTACTGTGTGTATTGGGGATTTACTGTGTGTATTAGGGTTGCAACAGAAAAAAACAGTACCCTCCCTGCCACTCAGTAGATAAACAACCCAAACATACATGGAAATGTATTTAGAAATGTATTTGATGTAATCATACTAATTTGTTTAGTTATTGTCTTTTTAAACTTTGTCTAACCACCAGTGGTAGATACATGGCCTGAAAAATATCTATCTGTCTATCCAAGTATCCATGTTTGGGGAGCAGCGTGTGACTCAGTGGGCTAAGCCTCTGTGCCTGTCATCAGAAGGTGGCTGGTTTCAGCCCAGCCTCGGCCCACCTGCCGTTAACCCCCAGCTCCCTGGGTGCTGCTATGGGTGGCTGCCCTTCACAGCCAGCTTACTCTCACCTCCAGACAGCAAGCTGGGGGAGGCATAAAGAGAATTTCCCCATGGAGATCAGTAAAGTGTCTATTATTATTATTTTCTTCCACCTGTCCTTTTCAAGGTTGTGGGGAAGGGAAGTCTGGAGCCTATGGGCACAAGGCAAGGAGCAACCCAGGGTGGGGTACCAGCCCATTGGAGGGCACAAGGCAAGGAGCAACCCAGGGTGGGGTACCAGCCCATTGGAGGGCACACACATACACACATGTTGGACCAGATTTAATAATGAATTATGAACATAACACATAACAAATGACAAAATCCATTGTCTTGCACTATGGAAGAAGGCTGATGGTCCAACACAATAATTTCCATTATTTTTATCTCTGGTTCTGATAATTTGAATATTGATAAAGTTTAAATATTGGCCATAAATATGGACCAATACATTGGACCACGACAATATTAAGATATTTAATAAATATCAGCTCATACCAACATGTTTGAACTTCTTCTGATGGCCCCTGTGAGACTGTTTCCTCCCAAGGTTCCTTCCCATTAGGAAGCTTTTCCTTGCCACCGCAGGCTTGCTCTCTGAGAGCTTTGGGCAGGGAGAATGTAAAGTGCTTTGAGACAATTTAATATTGTCAAAATGTTCTGTATAAATAAATTTCAATTGAACTGAATTAACTGATCTAAGAAAAACATTACTTTTCACTTAGCTAGCTACTTACAGTGAGGGAAATAATTATTTGACCCCCTGTTGAATTACTAACTTGGAATTACTAACCATTTATAAAAATGAGAAGTCTATAATTTCACTGGTAGGTTTATTTTAAAACCAGAAGAAAGATTTTCAACAAAACAAACAAGAAAAAAATCATTATGTAACAGGTACAAATCAATTTGTTAATTTATCTAGGGAAATAATTATTTGATCCCCTACAAGCCAGCAAGAAATTAGTACAGTACATGTGCACTAACACAACACAAGTAGTACTTACTTAAGTATTAACAAATACCAAGCCAGCATTGTCATTTAATGGCATTACTTTTGTTACCATGTTTCCTCAAATAGTGACTGGGGTCTTTATTAACCTAATCCGCAGAAGTAACTTGTATTTGAGGCAGGTTGGAATTTGAGGCAGGCTGGTACTTGAGGCAGGCTGGAATTTGAGGCAGGCTGGAATATGTGGCAGGCTGGTACTTGAGGCAGGTTGGAATTTGAGGCAGGCTGGTACTTGAGGCAGGCTGGAATATGAGGCAGGCTGGTACTTGAGGAAGGCCTTTATTAAGAATTCCCTCTGATACTGCATTGTGCTGTTAATACAAAGTATATGTATGAATGAATCAAATGCCCCAGTTGTGTTAGTTTGAACCATTTAACACTTACTGGGTACATTTATTGGAAATATTCTCTTAAACCAAACTGTTTCATGGTAGATTACAAAATTGCAAGGCCATCAAAATTTTAAGAGTACCAGTAATTAGTGCAAAAAGTGCAAGTTAACTTTTCATCAATGCCATATAAATTATACATACGATCAATTTAACTTGTGTGTAGTATGATCAATCATGTACTGGAGTTTACCATAAATATGCCCAAGTATCACGACATAAAAACAAAACATTTCATGAGTTACTCCAAATATTGACATTAATAGAAATTCCATTTTTACAGCACAGTCAAATATCTAATAACAATCAAATTTATCTGCAAGCAAAATCTGAACTGAAAAACTAGGATATTTCCTAAATATAAACAACATTGTGGCTTACATTGACAAATGAAACATATAAAGTCATTCATTAAAAATAATAAAACAAATGCTGCATGTTAGTTGTCTGTCAGATATAATAAGAATGTCTCTATTTATTAATGTGTATTTCAGCTAGAAACATAATGTGGAGACTGAAAAACATATGGGGGGGGGGGGACCAAGAAAGACGTCAGTGTCAGGATAGAAACCTCAAAGCAATATGCCTTGAAAATAGAAATTACACAACAAAACCAATGAGAGGCAAATGGGCAGAAGCAGGAGTCGTTGTCTGAGACAGAAGTGGAAGGAATCGACTGAATGAAATGGGATTTACATATGGAAAAGCCAAATGAAAACCAGCACTAACACATAAACAGAAGAAAATAAAGTTACAGTGGGCTAAAGAGAAGCAATCATGGAGTGTGGATGATTGGATGAAAGTGATATTCAGTGATGAATCACAAATCTCCATTGGCCAAGGAGATGGCGATGGAACTTTTGACTGCCTGATGAAAATAACCAAATTTCCCCAACCGTTTATGATATGCGGTTGCATGTCAGGTAAGGGACCGAGGCAGATCGATGGAAGAGAGGTTTGGTGATGATGGTGTCATTTTTCAGGTTGATAATGCATCTTGTTACAGAGCAAGGAGTGTTTAAGATTTTCTTCAGGTAAGGCATCAACTCAATCACGTAGCTAGTGGATCTCAATCCGAAAGAAAATTTTTGGTGGAAAAACAATTGGTCCATGACAAGGTATCTCCACTATAAACATCTGCATTTACTAAACATGATTTTAAAAGTTGATAATTCCATACTGTCAAGCAAGACCCACACAGGGGTGTTTATTGGAAGGTCAGACTGGAACGCAAACACTGACAGGTAAAAAATGACCAAACTGGGAGCACAGGACTGAGAGACGCTAATATACCTGACAAACAAAGGAGCAAACACAAGGCAGCTGTGAGTGGTTAGCAGGAAGGCAGCAACGAGTAGAATAGATTAACGAGCCCCATGTGCGGCTAGTTTAGAGCCACGCCCAAGGGAAAACGAGGGGATCAGACAGGCGGGATGGGCTGGACGTGACAGAAGCCGGGATGTCCAACTATTAAATCAAAAACTGCTCTGTAACATATCAGTAACTTTTTTGTTTTGCTGTGAAGTAAAAAGGCTGGGTGAGCATCCTCTGAGTATGGTAATTCCATAATTTTTGTCAGTGGTTGTATATTTTTGTCTTACTCAAGAGCCTAATGGCGGTGTGATTGATCAGCTGGGAGAGGGATTCAAACTGGAAATTGTAAAGACGCAGGAGTCTTAACCCTCATCTAAAGGAATAATGGTCACAGCATTTGTCTTTCTGGAAAGCAGCATGTCGTTCTTGTTCCAGTCATTATAGATATCATCATATATAGAGCTTTACGTAGTACATCTGCTTATTGTGAATACACATAATCTTATTTACATCACGTGTACTTTTAAGAAAATTACAAAACTTTTAATATAAAGTTTGATAAATAAAAAACATTTTGAAAAAAACATTGTATCATTGTATTGATTTATGCATACTCCTTGGTTCCAGAATGCATTTTAAATGTGGTCAGCAGGATATAGCTACTTTACGATATGTCTCATATGTCACAGTGAAATGAATAATTACTACAGGATGAAGTGCAGGCATGCTTTTGTTACCTTATTTGACAAAGCATTAATTTCTTAGTGGAAACTATTTCTTTGTAGATGTTCATTTTATATAACTTATTTAAATGTAAATATTGGAGTTACTCGTTTCATCCTCAATTTATACTTTCTGAATTCAGATTCATGGTCTAGAACTGAACTTGTGTTTTTCCAGATTCGGCTACCCAGCTGCAGTGATGGACAGGGCTCAAGTCTCAAACTCACCCCGCTGTTGGACTCCTTCGTGACTCAGACTCGACTTCTTAAAGATATTGTCTTGACTCAGAGTTGACTAAGGTGGATATGAACGCAATGCTGTCTTAAAATAGCTTTCAAAGGTGATTTGGTCAGTGTCATTCAGGTGGAGATAATAGGGGAAAAATGTTACCCGTGTCCATATATCAACTTCTTATAGTCTGAATGAAGAGCAGAAAGACATTTTCACAGCACAAATCCCTAACCACGGAGGTCATTTCCCCCCTTTTTTGCCACAATAACAAAATGGCTCAGAATGAAAGGACTATTCTTTTTCCCAGAATTTTCCAGAGCCCGCAGAGAATAGCTTTGGACTGGTGTACTTCATCTTCAAACGATCTTTTATATTTGGCCAGATGAATGGAAGCACCATTTGGACACACCCTTCTGAATTAAAGCCTCAAACCTGTTGTGGTCTCTACATGAAAACCACGTCGGAAATAAGCCTTAACTTTTCCTCTGATTTTTTAACATAAATAGTCGTGACTAGTGTATCTATTTTCTTATCTGTTATTGACTGAAGAATTAATATATTATGGTTTTAAGCTCAATGTGTTTTCTATGTTTTCTTTCTTTTTTCTTTAGCTGAAAAGTACGTATTATATCAAGCACACGTTTCATCCATTGTAAAACCAATATTCAATTTCAACAAGAAAATAAAAATTCCAATCCAAATATTTTTTTTCTTAAAAATTGGAATTCCTTGACTTGAGCCTGACATTCAAGTGAGCAACATAACAGGAAATGCTAAGCTAGTGATTGTGATGAATAAAACATAGTCTGGACAAAGGCAGTTCATTAAATGCTTCTTCCTTTTACCTTGATTGGTCTCGCATGCCACCCCCCCCCCCCCCCCCCCCTGCATCGTGTCCTGCATGGTGATGCACCCACTGTCAAAACAGCATGTTGTCAGAACAGTCTTATGTTGAACTCACTTCATGTATTTGTTTGGAAGCTGCTTGGTCAGGCCAGTGCAGGCCTGCCTATTTTTATTAAGCTGAATTTGCAACCAGAACCAAAAGAGAAATCATAATAATGGAAGTTTTTGCGGCCTTATGAAGCCCTGGTGTGTACAGCAGTCTCCAAGCGTGTGGGGTGGGGAGGAGTGAAATGCCCCTCCCTCAGCAACTATGCTACTTATTTATTTGAAAGGATAATCCCTTAATATTTTGCAATCTTGTGCATTTACTTAAAGGTTTCTGCAACTTTTGATTATGCTGCAGCCTAGTGTAGGTATTTCAGAGACACCTGACTTTCCGTGAGTATGGAAGGTCATCTATACACCTAAATGAATTGATTTGCTCTTTGAAGATATACTGATGGAGTTAGATCACAGAGTCAGCCGTTTTTCTATCATCTGTCTGTCTGTCTCAAGCACACCTGAAGCATTTTTGTGGTTAAGGGCCGTGCACAAGAATTTATCTGTGATCTCACCACTTAAACTGACCCTGTGATTCGAAACAGTGACTTTCCAATCACAGGCACAGAGGCCTGATCTGCCCCAACGGCCCAGGACCTGCTTGGATGAACAACACTTAGTGGAATATGTCCAGAAGATATAGACATGGTTTGCTTTCTGTTCTTCGCCTCCGACCATTTGTTCTTCTTGCCCGTAACCTTAGGTGTCCTCTGCCTGTTCACAGCACAGGAGTCAGGTTCTCCTTGACCATGTCCTCTGAGTTGGCGGTTGGCATCAGTGCTGGATGAATGTTTCATGGGCCAAACATATTAAGGGGAGGTGTCCTGTGAAGCTTTAATATTTATGTATCTCTGTCCTACTCTTTCCAGCCAGACACAGTGCTAATATCACCGCGATAAATACTGCATGCTTGGAGTCTTTGGTAAAATAAGGCTCATTTTTAGCTCTCCTTCCCTCCTTTGTTTCTGTAGTTCATTGGTGTCTCATCAGAAGCTACTTTAGATCTGTGGTCCTTCTGGCTTGAGCTAATTGAAACAGGGACACAAATAATTTAGCCATTTACTCCCCAGCTTAGAGTTTTTGTTGTTGATAATCTTTAGCCCCTCAGATGAGCCAGAGCCCCCTCAAATCAAGCTCATGATGGCAGGGGAGCTCGATAGAAAGTCTTAGGTGTCCCCCGCACCAGCAGCCCCCCCCCCACAGCCTAGGGAATGCCCTGCCCATCAGACGTGGGCATCTTTAGAAAGAGTAGCGCTGGTAGCCCGATGTCCTTGGTAAAATTGCCCACTGTGGCCCTTTCAGATGTAGCCTCCCAATCGTCCCCTATATCTAATCAGTGAAATCTCTCCTGCCCCTTCACCACATCACCTACCGTGTGCTGAGCTGGCATGGAATGGCAGCCATCAAATCATCCAGGTGGTGGTGATGGAAGTGGCTCCCAATTAGTTCTATAAAGCGCTTTGGGTGTCTTGAAAAGCACTAAATAAATGTAACATTAATTGATTAATTCATTCATTCTGAACACAACCAGGGCCCGCTAACTCTCTACATTACGCTACCTATCCAAACACACCTCCCCATCTAGCTTAGCTAGACAACCAGCTTCTAGAAATATACAGTGTTGGATCTGACTGCGAACATAATCAGTGCTCCGGCAAGTCAAGCAAAATAAATGTGGGCATAAAGCACCTAGCAGCAAGGGTCGATTTCTTTGTAGTAGGTATACAGCATGCTGGAGGCGGGGCCAGCAACAATTATCCTATCGGCATCCTCGGTTGTCAGGATGCAGGTGTGCAGCAGCTTGTGGAGAGCAGATGCCCGTATCGAAGGGCACACATACACGTACACCCCATAATATAAGGCAGTCTACAAGGTCTGAAACAAGGGAATGAAATTGTGATGCAAATGAACTGTGAGTGCTGTATTTGCTATTGGTATTAAACAATGCTGAAGATAAAACCAACAAAACTCTCTGCTCTCCGCCAGGAAGTGTGAAAGCGAGACATTGTGTAATTGTAGGCAGCGTTCTTATTTGTTAGTGTTTATTTTTAATGTTCCAGTGTCAGTTCCATTGTGTGAGAGTGAAATGGCAAACACGACTGCAGCAAAACTGAATTTAGGAGTCTTTTCTCATTTAAGGACACTTAATATGCTTCAATTTTAAGTGGGATGTGAAGCAACTGAGTTAACTAGGGAATGTGGCCTTTGACAATGACATCTTTACAAGCCGGCAGCAATACAACAACGAAATAGAAGAGTCACCCCGTGTCAACTATGGCTGAGCTGCACTCACTGTCAGCCAAAGAGCATTAAGCAGGAGAAAAATCCGACAACGTGGGCCAGCGGAGCCGAGGTGCGGGATGCAGTTGGGATTGCTGCGTCAGTCTCTCAATAGCAAATGCTTCTGCCTGTAAGAGCCGCTTGCAGTCGGCTTCACCTCAGGGTACGTCAGGAACTCCTACTCCTCCCGATCTGATGCATTATTGAATACAGAAATTCTCGTATTTGCTTGAGGGGAAAAATTGACTAAACATGTACAAAACTTGATGGTCTTGCTCAGAACGTTTCTCTTCTACTGACATCTTATGGTATGAATGGTGTGTGACTGGGCCCAGCAGTGGGTTGCTGCTCCATCCTGGGTTGTTTCCTGCCTTGTGCCCACATCTTCCCCTGTGACCCTGAATAGGAGAAGCGAGTACAGAAAATGGATGGATGACATCTTATGGTTACGATGAGAAACTCAGCACAGCGAGACTTTCATGACGCAATTAGCATTGAAGGTTAACTGCTGCTGGATTGAGATTCCACTGGCCGGAGAGGTGGACACGTCACGCCGTCCGCAGTTTCTCAGTCTTCAAAGGGGTCCTCCTTCTGCTGAATGATTATGTAACAGCCAGCATTGTGGCTATGGCAGCGGGACGACAAGCTGCTTCCAGAGAACCAGCACGTGGCATGAGGAATGGAGGAAGGTGATTCTTGGAGAAACCTCTGGAGCTGGATCATACGAGGGAAGCCAAGGGCAATCCAACACAGGGATTCCAGCTGAAATATGTAGCTTGCTACCCAGGGCAGGAGTGAATGAGAATGCGGGGAGTGAGTGGCTGCTCCAACCATCACCAGCAGAAGCATTAATGAGAGAACCAATGATGGGGGCCAAGAAAAAGGCACAGCGGACCCCCACCCAAGGAGCAGCTGACAGACTTTCACGTTCTTACATCAGTCCGGTCTATGGGAAAGCGCAGACTTTAAATCCAGCGCATGCAAGAAGTCGGATCCATAGGAAACTTAGGGTGGCTGTGGCACTCAGTGAGGTGCAGCTAGGGTGACCACCTAATCCATGTCAGAAGCGACACTATGAGCTACTTCAGCTTTTACGAACTACTTTAAAGCTGAAAGGGTTCTGTGCTCTGCTAAAATGTTTGGTTAGTTCCTAGATTGAAAGACTCATTCAGCTGTTTCGCATTAACATTACTGACACATATGCATGATTATAGGAGATTGACCAGTCAGCATACGGCAAGAACCCAGTGCTTAAGTGAAATCCTGCTCCTTTTAATTGAAATGTATGAAATGGTAGTTTACAAATCCTGTTGTAGCTCATAGTGTCCCTCCTGACATGGATTAGGTGGTCACCCTAGGTGGTCACCCTAGGTGAAGCCCATGAAAAGGCAGCAGATCAGTCACCTGACCCAAATGATGCCCCCCAAGGAAGAACAAGACAGAGAAAAATAGTTGCTGGTGGGGAGCATGGGCATGGAGACGCAGTCTGACACAGGGAATGGGGCACTTGATATGAAATGCGAGCCGGCTTTTGGGAATCCGATAATTGAAGCCATGTAGAAAAGTAGGGACCTTCATCACCTTTAATCAGACAAGGATCCACAGAAGAAAAAAGGTCACCTGGTAGCCATTTGGACCTGTGCCTCAAACTGGTGTCTCTCACCTGCTTCCACAGACCACTGGAGGTGCACATGGGAGGGGGGGGGGGGCGTAATGTTCTGTTCCAGTGAGGGAACATTTCACGGCCGATTTAACCTCTGCCTGATTGCCAGGGATTTTGGTGCCTGCTGCTTCTTCCTCATGTACCGTTATCGGAAAGAGGCGGCCGAGAAAAGCGGTGAAGAAGTAAACCCAACAGCTTCAGGAAGCTCAGGCTGCGTTTTTAACACATCACCAAAGGCAGAGGTCGACCCCGGAGGAACCCTGACTTCCTGACGTGGAGGGTGTGTGTGTGTGTGTGTGGGGGGGGGGGGGGGTTAGCTGTTAGCCTACTATCCAGTCCTACTGAGTGATGCGACTTCTTTGACCTTCTGAACCCTCAGATAACCTCATGCTGGGCATAATGTAGCAGCAAAGGACATTCACACGGCACAGGGAGTCCCTCCTTTGTGTCTGTTTGGAAGATTCTTAATAAAAAGCAACCATGATAAATCCTATGCTGGTCATTTGCACAAGTAAGAGTACAGAGACATTGGAGTCCTTCTCTTCACAGCTTAAGGGGGGTGGGGGGTCACAGCCAAGGTCAGCCGATGTGCAGAACCCGTGGAGCTGGGCAGCCAAAGGCCTTCCTCAAGGGCACAAGACAAATGATTGTTTTACCATGTGTCTGAACCAGCGACCTTCAGATCACAG